TCCACAAGTTTTCGGGGTTATAGAGTAGAATTTGTGTCAAAATTTTGAAATATGGAAAGATATCAACATGTCGATTTTTTTTTTCTAGTTGAGGTATTATTATTATTATTTTTTACTCAATGGGAACAGGACATACGACTAACGAGCCTGTTTCTTTTTTTGTCTCTCCATTAAGTGATTGTTCGGTTTGCAAAAAGTGTTGTATGGACAAAGAATGGTGTTAATGAACTAATAAGTTACATACAAGTGGTTCTTATTTGACTTGATAAAGAAAGAAAATGTATTAAAGAAAGCTTGGAAAACAATACCTTATGTGATGGGTCGGATCCGTCTTTGTTTTTTGCAAAATTTGTGCTTGTATATTCTAAAGAGTGCTTTAAAATATTTTTGAACATCAATTATCTTGGAATGTTTAATTAGAAGAAAAAGGTCTTAATTTATTTATGTGCCTAATTATTGGAGTTTGTATTAAGGCAAAATTTTCTTCTTTCAAACAATCTAATTCCCATATATCTCTTATCCGTGATGCTCATAAACTGAGACCAAAATATAAAACCCATTAGATAAAGAAATGAAAATAACCAACTCTGAATGCTTTTGATACCATATTCTCATCGCAAAAAGCCATATATGACATATGGAAAAGTGTAAATAAGAAAAAGAAAACTTAATCTTGTTTAGAATATGGTTTTGAAATTTTGATAACAATACCAAACGAACATACAAACTTGAAGTACATAAGTCAGTTGTATCATAACAATGTGGTCTTTGTCATTGAAGATTCTTGAAGCTGTAGCTGTAGCTATAGTTGTTTTCTTTCTTCTAATACATTTGTTTTCTTGTATAATATATTGCTATTTGAGTGGTGAGATATAATGTTGAAGCACAATTATTATGCTATATCGATATAAAGTTTTATAAGGACACTTATGCATTTTTCTCAAAAGATCACAACCTTTTTTTAAATGTTTTATAGACAAATCACATGTTGCTTTAGATTTGTTCTCATATTTCATTCCTATTCGTCTTAATGCGGAGAAGATTTAGCCGTTGAAGAGCTTGCACACCAATGATATTGAATTTAATTAGACTATTGATATATTTTCTTTCAAGGGTTTTTGTACGTATGTTTCTTAAATTCTATAAAAAAAAACCTATTTCGGCTTTATCCAATCACAACGGTGTACAAGAAAATAAATCTTGTTTGATTTGGATATTTACTATTTTGTGGCAAAGATTGTGGTTGGTGTTCTGAACAAGAAACCCTTGTGTTTTGACAACATAAACCTTTCTTGATTTGGGTACTCTCATATGTACACTAATTCAATTCTTTATGGTTGTCGTGCTTTATCATTCTTTTCCAATGAAATCAGGCACCACAAAGTTAGTTTGTTTGCTTAAATTTGCATTAACCTCATCTTTATTAGGGAGTTTGAAACGAGATTTAAATTGTGGCACGAATCTCTCTTGTTTCTCTATGGAAGGCTCTTTAATGTAACAGGTAAATATCATTTGTTCTTGTAAGTTGACTTGAATACAAGCTTATTACAAATTTAATGATACATGTCTAGCATACGAGTCAAGCCGATGCATCGAGTTCGATTCATTTCGAATGTAAGCATTTGGTATCATAGGTAATATTCATCTAAAAAAAGATATATATAATTCTAATAGAAAAAAAAATCTAAATGCAAACACAATACTATTTTGACTTATTTACATTTTTTACAAATATAGTTAATATTCTATATGTTATTTAAAATAATTTTTTTTAACTTGTATTATTGACATAACATATTTTGTAAAATGAAACCAGTATGTTATATTTAAATTTTACAGAATAAAAGTTGATATTTTATTTCTCTTTATTAAATTAACATATTAAAAAGGTATCTTTCACAAAAATGTATCATTTTTTGACGGCATAAAATATGGATTGTACATTGATTTGAATTTGAGGTCACTAAAATATTCCACATCCTTCCAGGGTCAATTTGGTAATTTTCATATTGTTTAACCTGGTATTACTAAACCCTCTCTTCTTATGCTTCCAAAATCGTGTAGTGGATTAGGGCTTGTACCCTCGCCGCTATGGATCTAAGCTTTAAGAATCATTTGGTTATCCTAATGTTCATGGTGGATGGAATCGTTGATTTTTCTGTTAATTTCGATATTTATATATTATTTTCGATGAATTTAGTTCATGAACTATTGTCAATAGATTTTCCGACTCGATCCGGAGTACTGCGGCCGTGATTTCCCTGTTTAAAAGGTATGATTTTGTGCGCATTTCCTAATCTGTACAAAGTAATGATTATGTATACGTTTGGGAATTAGAAGCTAGGGTTTATAATCTATATACAAATTTAATAACGTTTGGCAACCGATGCAAACTAAAAAAAGACTCAACTTTAGAGAGAATGCATGCCTTAAAAGTCATAAATTAAATTAAGCAAAAAATAGTGACAACTCCTATTTTTATACGTAGGTATATGTTAGTAATGATGCTAAATGGTTAACTTGCCACAGTTTGGTTTTAGTTAGGTTAAAGCTTTAGATTTGTATGTTATTATCATGTTTCAGTGCATGTTGATGCTAAATGGTTAGATTTTCTCTAAGTAATACTTATCCCTTGTAGCAGATTTAAAATTTTATACCTTTTTGATTTAATTGACTATTAACACCTTACACCTCCCATCTGATAAACGCTCGCATTCATCTGCCTCAAGAGAAACGCTCGCATTCATCTCTGATTTTTTGCTCCACCTGTATCGATTTTCCTTTTCCATGTAACCATTAACAAGCATTAACACCATCTGCCATCTGCCATAAGAGAAACAGAGAAACAGGGTCGTAAGTGTACAATTTCTTTCTCCTTCATTATATGTTTTAAACTTTTTTCTTAATCGATTAGAGATATTCGGTTGTTATATGATGGATGTGATTGGATTTCTTAATAGATTGTTTACGTTTTACAGTTACAAAAAAAAAAAAAAAAAAATTGTTTGTGGTTTCTTGTTGCAGGTGAGTCGACTTCAACCAAAAGCAACAAGTCCAAGACTCTTGAGGTTAGACTTTGATTCTGCTGTACATTAGATTACAAACAAAAGTCCACAGTTGAATGTTCTTTTGATACTGCACGTGAATTTGGACTAAAAGCAATGTAATTAATATAGCCATCTTACTTTTTCACTCATATATGTTGGAAAAGGTTTGATTTTTACTGAGTTTGGACATGTGTCAATATGAATGTTTGTGATTCATTTAACATAAGTATATTTTAAATTCTTTGGAAATCAAACAGTATATTATGATTGGGGAAGAATTATTGACTTATTTTTAAAAATAGCTTATTGATTTATTAACTTTTGCAAAGACAAAAGCTAATCCAAACACTTTTTAAAAACTTCTTTTGCAAAATCTATAAGTTAATAAGTTCTTTTGGCCAATTAACATTTATAAAAGTGGACATAACTTTTTAAATCTGAAATTTTAGTGTAATTCCTTTTGTGATGTTGATGCTTCTCATATGCTAAACATGCAGACTATCATAAAAAATGAGCGATACAGTCGACCAAACTACGGTTATAGAAAAGGCACAAGCAAACAATCCATGGAACAATTACCAGAATTATCGGAAACATCAGAAAAAAATGGCCAATGAGAAATATAGTTTGGAAGAAACTAAAGAAGAGTGGAAAAACATGACTCAAGATGAAAAAAACGAATTTTCACAGGAGAAGCCAGAAAAAGAAATTGCTATAGGTAAAAAAACAAGCATCATGTGTAATGCCAAAATATTTCTAAAAGAGATTGAAGATTCTGGTAGAAAGGAAATGATACAGAAATGGATTGATAATGATAGTCCCTTCTTAAGTCTTTTAAAAATGCAAAAGGGGATTTTGGTAAGCAGTGATGCGGCTGAAAAGCTTATGAAAATGCGTGACCCCAAAAAGTGCACCATAAATATCAATGGGGCTGAATATACAATCACGGCTTCTGATTTTGTTGACATAATGGGTATAAAACCGGGCACTGAATCAGTAGATCTTCAAAAAGTTAAGTCTGGGGATTTATTTGATAAATTTGGTGCCTTTGAAAAAGGGGACAAACCTTATGTTTGTCGCGAAAAAGTGTTAGAATTCCTCAAAGAAGGAAATGAGGCGGATGCTAAAATAGCATACAATTTACTTGCCCTCCTGTGTGTGTTGGTACCCAGTCGACGTAATAGGTTACCTTCCAAGTATCTCAGTATGATTGATACTTGTCATGAAAACAAGGATTGGGTGGGACATTTCCTCCAGCAAATGTTCAATGACATTGACGCCTACTAAAAATCTAAAGCAGATAGTCACCTCAAGGTAGGAGGATGCATTTTGTTCCTCCAGGTTAGTTTAAAGCCGTTTTATATATTTGATTATGTTTATGTTTATGTATACATTTTATCATTATGTTTTATAATAATGTTTCCGTTTATGTAGCTCTTCTGTATGAAGAAGGTTTCTTCTGATTTAGTTCAACTCCAATCTGTCACGGAAGATATGGTTAAAGAGTTTGTTAATGAACATATAAAGGTTAGTGAATTTTTGTGTTTCATAGTGAATTTTTGTGTTTCATAGTGTTTATGAAATTAATTTTAAAATTATAACATGTTTGTGTTTCATATTATTCATTTACAGGAGGGTGCTAGTCTAGAAACGGAAGTTCTGGATTCCGTACACGATAAATTAGCAAAAAGGTTGAAAGAGATGTTTGAAGAAGCTTCGGAAGGTCTGGTTAACATGAATGACGACGGAGGGGTTATATATAAAATGGAGGATTATGGTTTAAAGATGCAGAAAGTTATGGAAACCTATCATTCAAGCTTCATGCAGAATTTAAGCTTCATTCAGAATTCTGAAGGATCAGACCATGAGAATAGGAATCCTAATAGTGAACAATCTGAAGGTTCTAAAAGTGATAGTGGGCATAATGAACCTGGTATGCAAGAAAATGTTATGGGAGGAGGAGGTGGTGGAGAGGAGGAGGGTATGCAAGAAAATGTGACGGTTCATGTGAAGGTGGCGGTTCTACCCAAGAAGAAACGGAAAGTGTTGAAGAAACGGAAAGTGTTGAGTCCAAGTGGCTCACCAACGAAGAAAAGGACTCGATCTGGAAAAAATTGGAAGTAAATGGAGACATATCTGTGTTTAATGTGCTGGAAGATAGTGGTTTTTGGCGAATTAATGTATAGGGGTTTGTTTTGGTCTACTTTTGGTAGTAAATGGAGACCTATCTGTACGTGTAAATGTTTTGGGTTATAAAGACAGGCTCATGTTGATATTTGTGATTTAAGTATGAAGAGTTAATATATAAATGTTATAATAGATGTTTTAGTGTTTTTATGTTATTAAAAGTTATAGTGTTTATTTTTCATATTTTTTTATTATTCGTTGTATATATGTTTTTTTTAATACAAATGTTATAATAAATGTTTTTCTATTTTTATGTTACTAAAAGTTGAATACGTTTTGTTACCTGTTATATTATCATTCATTTGATATATAATTTACACAATTTTAAACGGCTTATAAAATTATCAAATAATTATATATATCACAATGACTTAAAAATTAAACTATAATGTTTAATAAAACTAA